GTCGGAAAAAACGAAGAAAGCAGCCATACGGGGCCCCCAGCAACGCCTGTGTTGGTGACATTGGCAGACGCCCTCAGTTAAGCTTGGCAGTCACTTGGCCATTTCCCTTGTTCTGTAATATCTGGCAGGGGCAAGTTGACAGAGACCGTGATATATCGTGCCCCGGCAGAAAGGCTTTCCCGGGATGCGGGCGCTGCGAGCGCTGCCCGTGCTCCTGACGTGCAGTCGCAACACTGCTCGGGTCGAAGCTCACAAGGATGTCCGGCTTACTGCACGCCTCGACCAGGGCCTTCCGCGCCCAGCTCCTGTGTTGATACCAGCCCAGGAGAACCAGGCTGCCGTTGAATGGGAACACCAACCCTCAGCAGCAGAACATCTGCTTGCATCAATGCCGAAAGCTGGTGGTGCAAAGGCCAAGGGACTGCTCCAGGACACGAAGAACACGCGGATCAGATTGCCGCCGCCGCTTGACCAGTTCAACGCTGCGGAGAGAGCTATTGCAGTAAACGCGGTGTCTTGGTTAGCAGTCGTCGGTGGGACGGCGCTGTGGAATAGGGGCAAGATGAGCGCCACAGAAGGTATAGAATATGGCATGAAGCTCAGACGACAAGTTGGATATCTTGGTGTATGCCTGGTCGCCAGCCATGCGCAGCGGAAGATATTGTCTAGTCTATGTAGTCGACCTGGCCCCTTCCCGATGCCCAGCGCAATCCACACCCCGACTACTGTACTGCCGTAGTGCCGTTTACCGTCCTTGGGATACGGGGGGTATGCGTTTGTAGATCTGGGTGGTTCAAAAAGCAATACCTCGCCATACAACCTCTAGTGAAAGCAACAGCAGTTCGGTGGAACCCCGACTCATTCCCCGCGTCCCCTCGTTCTCTCTCTTTGTCGCTCTCTCTCTCTCTCTCTCGCTCTTGCTAAATAACCGTTGTGTGGCAAGGAAGACTGGCATCTCTTGCTTGGTCAGCCGGTTAGCACGGTTCGATACTGGTCGAAGAGACCCACAACAACACACAACCACCACCACCACCTTGACTCATCCATATCATCCCCTGCCATTCTTAACGTATGACCCTTGAAGGCATTGTCCGGAAAGCGCTCATGTGGTCCACCGTATCGGCCACCGGCGTACAGGTTGCATCCAACGTAATCTGGGCAGTGTCGGGAAACCTTGATGGCGCAAGTGCCCAGGGGCGAGGCGCGAGCGTTTGGGTGAGTTTATTCAGGCATGTGAATCGTTTGCATATCCCACAACGTTTTTGAATTCAAACCTGGGGCTCGTTCCTTCTCGGTCCAGGCATGTTCATATCCTTCATGGTATGTAGACTGTATCCTGACCGATGCATTTGCAGAGGACAACCGTATGCGCTGCTCTTCCCTCTCTGTTACGACAGAGTCCTCCATGTTTTGACTTTCCGGTACAGGTGTTCTTTCGCCGTACACAGGTCTTTGGTGAAGAAATGGGTGCATTGAAAACACGTGCGAGACGTCCGTCATATGCTAGAGAAGTGCATGTTGGCGTGTACCATGTTGGCTTTGCCATCGGTGGCCTTGCGGTTGGTCTTGTTTTGTCGCAACAGCAATCCCGCTGCTCCAAGTTCGGGCTTCTTCCTCCTGGCAACAAGTTGTTCCCACGTTCCACTCCTTCACCTGATGCATGACAAAACTTGTTCGATCACACTGGCAGGCGGGTCTGGGGAGCTTCCGGTGGTCATACCTGGGTGTGCTCGCTGTGTGCAACCTCGGAGAGCTTATTCAGGGGGCATACTTGTTCCGGCTCTATTCCCAGGTACCGTGCCCCCCGACATCCTCAAGACACTAGGGTAAGCTACCACACAGGACATGGAAGTTGTAGGAATCACATGCAGCAGCTGGCTGGTGGCAGACCATAACTTTGAAACCACGTAGGTATGCGTGGCTCATCACACATTACACACAGCATAAGCAAAGCAGCGCAACCTACGGGTTCGTTCAGCAATGGAACTTGTTTGGGCGGGAGCTAAATAAATACATGAAAGGCGACAGCGAACGCGAAACCATTCAACTGACTGTCGATCGCTGACGGAGACCCTCAGGCTGTCGGATACCTTGTGTGCTACTTTCTCCGTATACCTGTCTGCGCGACGACAAATTCGTGCTGTTTCTGTGCTGTTTCAAATACGCGTGCCACTCCTTTGGACGATCGCACGAAAACCACCCTCCAACAAGGATGCACGTTCATGTCGAGGGGACTGCTGTAGGCGGAGGTATTCATACGTGATGATGCCAGTGTGGTTGTTTTCATGACAACCATGCTCTTGAGATTCACACTTTGTGCCACTTTTGTTCGCGTCGTTTCGTGGCGGCAACGCCTCCACAGAGCAGCGCGTTCGGCATGGAGCAGATCAGTCGATTGTTTCTGGCAGGTACATTGTCAAGCATGGTGACTGGGCTTTTCGCTGGATCGTTGCTGGACAGGTGAGGCGAAACCCGCTCTTCCATTGTTGCTTTTTGTACAAGGGGGCTGCTGCCATGCGGCATCACGGGTATTGGCAGTTGTATGTTGTGATCAATCCAAGTGGTATACCTGGTGTTTCGGAGAGAAGCGCCAGGCTGTAGGATCGCAACGAAGCAAACGTAGCATTCAACGCGATTGTGTTTACTCGTACCATCAAATCTGTTGTTCCTTTTCTGTCTCGCTGCTACGTAAATCGTGGTATGCGTTCTTGTGCGCTTCAGCACTGATTTACGGTAGACTGTAGCCCGTATCCGGACCGTGTCCTGCATCCCGCCGTGTGATATCTGATGTAAGATGCGAAAGCTGTCTCTCGGACGGAGCATGGCACACCGATGGCTGCTCTACCGTACCTTGTACGTTTGCACAGCTGCTGCTCGTCGCTCATGTGCCGGAGTTCTTGGTGTACTTCCTATGTTTTGGTGGTTCTTCCGACAACGCGCCCGAACTATTCCGCCAAGGTACGGGCGACGGAGTGGCTGCATGCTGTGGGCTATTCTCAATATCGCGCAGTGCTTCCTGATCCGGTCGAAGGCTTTTGGAGCTCTTGTGCTGGGTCGAGTGATTGCAGGTGAACTGTGGACGTGATATCGAATATGGTGTGGCAGCGCTGTTTGGTGGGCAACCCAATAAGATTTCCATTCAAGTACATGAACAGTGGTGTAAGTAGTCGCCTTTCGCCCCCGCTACTTCGCTCGCCACAACCGCCGACGAATTGGTGTAGCCCAGATATAGTCGTGGGTTGATCGATTTTTTTTTAGTGTCAAATACATCGATCGAGTGTATCCTGACTGGTGCTTTTGCGGGCATGCTGTCGTTGGTCCTGGCAAGTTTCCTCAACTCGCGCATCTTTGTAAGTCAAATCGAATTAACCTTGCGCTTGCTTCTCTTTGTCGACGTGCCCGGCCCTTCACGTAGGCGCCGGTGCCATGTTCCTGGCGACTGCTTTCGAGTCTTGGATGATCACGGAACACCGTAGCAGAGGATACCCGTCGTACCTGCTGGCAGACACATTCCGCATGGCAACGTGGGGAATCGGGTTAGCGACGATCGCGTCAGGCTTCTTGGCAGATGCTTCCCTGCAATGGATGGGGATGGGCCTCCTGGGGCCTTTCAATGTCGCCATTGGAGTGAGTTGGGTGCACGTTCCTTCCCGTCTGAGATTTATTTCTCTCGCGGTACGGCAGTCGTGGCTGTTATTGAGTCCAAGATTGGACACTACGCGGCATTTTTATGACACACAGCACAAGCGGCAGGAGTCAATGATGTGGCCAAAGCTGCAGTATTAGGTAGGCTAAGTGAGTGGATTGGTTTGGACAAACAGCATTGGTGCTGTCTTGTGGCACCGTTCGTGCATACGTACTTGCACTAGTCGTGGTTTGGCATTGTCTTCCGTGTTATCAACCCGGCAAGCCAACCCGTAACTACAACCTCACGACCCTTGCGATTGAGAATTTGGCAGAATATCGTTGTTCCTATATATAGTAGCTCTTGTGGTTGCTGCTCAACCATTCAGCGTTGCTGATTGCGGGTTCTGTTGGTGCTCGTTTCGACCACAGGTGTCGCTAATCTCGCTCGTGCTCATCGCCAGTTTGTGGAATGAGAACTACGGGGACCGATCCTCCTCTACCTTCCGTCACATGAAAGAGGCAAGTCGGGTACTGGCGCAAGAGCCGAGCGGGGAGGAGGTCGAGTGAAGGTTTAGGTTACTATTAATAGTGGTTGCGGAGCTTTGCTGTCGGTACGTCTTGCATCAGCATCAGCAGAGAGTAGAAGTGCGTGTTTGCATGACACTCCGCTGGGGCCAGCTCTGCTCTGCTCGGACATGCCCTGTGTTTTTCGTGCTCTCTTGTGGATGTTGGTTACGCATTCGGGTACGAAACTGTACATCCACCCGACGCCCCGCAATAGTTCTCGGTTCACTCACGGGTGCATTGCGTGACACGTATTTGGACTGTCACCGGAAGTAGCGCTTTCCCTCATTGCCTAGGTCTTGCTTCGTCGGATGATTGTTATCCTGTTCCGCTCGACCGTAGTTTCTACCCTTTGAAACGACGTCTATTAGCCTACGGCAGTCCTTTTTATGTTTCTTTCTGTCGCTCGTCCTCGTCTTGTCCCCCAACCCCTGACAGTACGAAATCAAGCACAATATATCTCCAAGATCGAAGCGTGCGGGCCAAAATTATCTCCTCTGATGCATCCCGGCATCTGCGTTGTGTAACGGCATCTCTCTCGTGTGCTGCGTTTGCAATGAAGGCGTTTGGAAGCATCGTGTCCGATGGTCGCCTGGTAATGATGTCAGCGGTGCAAGCGCTGTTCGAGGGGGTCATGCTCGCCTACATCGTCCTCTGGGTGCCTGCCATCGAAGCCGCTGCGTTGGTGGGTGTCGTCGCTATTGTTGTATTCACCGCATCCTGCAGCGGAGGTTGTTGTTTGTTCTTTGCTGCTATGCATATTGTATTGTACTCCGAGGAAGGGAGAGACACTTTACCTTGCCACGTGTAGTTGCAGTGATGTTGGTGCTCGCTCGAAGTGTTGCATCGTCTGCAAAGTTTCCGTTCTCCTCAGGAACTCCACGAAGCATGCAGCATCGTGGCAACAATCCAGCAGTCTAGCAGCATTCTGTGCGCCACCTTGGTACATGACGGTACATGATAGTGCCCAACGTATGTTCCCGGAGGTTTTCCGGATTTTGGGCGTAGTTCAATTTACACGCAAGGCGCGTTTTCGGAAGGCTGTTATGCTCGGTCGAAGGTATCTAGAGCAGAGATGGCGTCGGTTCGAGCTTGGTGCTTTGCTGCGAACGAGGCGCGCCAGGCATGTACACAGTAGGTTCTGTCTGTTGTGGCGATGGTAACGTTTTCGAATAATATAGAAAACCGGCGCACCAGAAACACCTCAAGCCATACCAACTTGTAACAGTCAGGCATTTCTCATGCATGTGTTTATTTTTTGCTTCTATCTGTTTAGTTCAAAGAGTCCCCCTCTTCCCCGTCACCCCACTGGCTATTGCTATTGCTACTGTTACCATAGCCCGACGAGGTTGCCCTGGGCATGGTGTTCTCGACGATGATGGTCAGCATATGCGGGGGGAGTTCGCTGTTCAAGCTGATGACCGAGGGACTTCCCGTGCGATTGGCGGTCTCTCCAGAAGCTTGCCTCGTATTGGCAACAGGTGCGTCGTTGGCTGCATTCAGTACGGCACGTAACGTCCGTCGACATGAAACTATGCAACTGCACTTGGCTTTTTCAGAGCACTTGTAGCTCAATTTGGTTAGAGTATCACCCTGTCTCTGTACAGTAGCAGGCCGAAGACGCCGTAGAACAGAGAGGAAATCGTGGATATGATCGTCATGGGCGAAGCTGAAAAGGCTCGCGGCCGCCCTTTCGAAAACTGTTGGGGTTTTCTGCCTGTTCCAGCGTATACAGTAGAGGTGACGGGCAATTGGTCAAGGCCAGGCCAATGAACCGAAACAGCTCAGAGCGCAAAATATTCTTCCGAACATGTGGAATATGATGGTGCTGTGGTGTAGGTGAGGCCAGGGTTGTCTAGTGCGCCACTTGGACAAACAGCGATTTGATTGCGTCATGTCTTCCTTCGTGTGTTTTGTTGACAGAAAAGGTCATGGGTCGGCATGAAAGAAAGTAGCGACCAACGACGATGCACATTGAGACTTCCTTCGTCGTCTGGAAATGTCTGCTGCCGTGTCGTTCGTGATGCCGTCGTATGTTGTCGTTGCGATCCGTCCATCCATCGAGCTCTTCCTGTCGTGGTGTTGGTCTGGCCCCCTCCCCCCCCTCTCTCTCTTGCCTTGTTGGCTAGGGCTGAGCACAGTGGCACTGGTGGCGTCGTGGAGGAAGCTGTCGCCCGGAAAGTGAGTTCCAGCAGCGACTTGAAACTTTGCAGGATTTCTTTCACTCGTACCGTACTTTCTGCGGCACGCTGTACACTTTCTTCACAAGTCGTTTCCCAAAAACCGGATAAATTTGTGTTACGGTTGTGATGGTAGAGAGAATGCGCATACTACCGCTGCCATGGTTTGCAAGCGTTAGGGCTCAGGCCGAGTTGCAGTTAGTTGTGGTTCGAGTTTTCTGCGCGTCACCTTGTTTTCGTGGTTCCTTGTGAAATCGCTTTGGTTATTTTGTGCTTGATCCTACATTGTCCGGTAGTCCCTTTCTCTTCTCTTGTCCTCTCTCTACATCGGCGCTGAAGCAGTACTTTAGTTTTCCAGGAAACGGCACAACTTCTCCTCACATTGCCACTCTCCCTAGATGCCAAGTCGATCCATCCATCCGTCATCTGCGTATCGCCAATAGCTTCTTTCCGCCATCCCTCATCCCTCATCCCTCATCTCTCTCCTCTCTCGCGCGCCCTTCGAAACGCAAACAACCTGTACTTTGCGTGTCTCCACGACATCCACGACATCAACAACATCAACAACAGGCTGCTGGCGATGTTCTTGGTGTACGAGGCGTGCATTGGACTGTATCTCCCTGCCATTGCAACGTGTCGATCCAAGTACATTGACGACCGGATTCGTGGCACCGTCATGAATTTGACCAGGTATTGTACAGTGGGGGGCCCTCAGTGGTGCCGCTATGTACCCGCCAGGTTCACCAGCACTTTACCGGGCACCGAGCACTGCATGTAGTCTATGTATTCAGCGAATGATACAGCTTGAATGTTGTATTCCATCCGTGTCACGCGATATCACCGGTACTATTCCGAGCACCCGGCACTGCTCAACCGGCACTATTGAGAGGGTCCCACTTTAGGTGTTGCCATGGCTGCTTCGGTATGGTACGCACAACGGGCTGGTTGGATGTAACAGTACAACATCCCTTTGCCCTTCCTTGGTGTTGTCGTCATACAGCAACATGCATCCACGCTCTCATGTTGAGTACATTTGGTGCCTGTGTCAGCTTGTGATTGATTTCCTTCTCCGCCCTTTATTGTGGTTGAGATAGCGTGGTACGCCGTCACGTGCATGCTAGTAGTCGTGACGGCTGACCATGTTTGCAGCACCTTTTACCATCAATAACTGCAACTCGCTTGGCAAAGAGTGAGACGTTGACCTTTCGTGTCAAAGGACGTTACGCATGCACGATGTGAAACTGGAAGTTGTGGGGAAGGCCATGTTATACACCGCTACAGACGGTAACAACGCCCCGCATTCCCACTCCTAAGTATGCCGGTCCTATATTTTTGTCCTACTTGCTATCTAACACACAAGCACGCGATTCGTGTGTCCAATTCTGCCGCCCAGGGTACCAGTGTATGTTGTGGCAGCTTTCCTGATGCACGGACCGGTGGCAAGTACCTCGGTGTCTGAGGATGACCAGGGCGTTTCAGCATTCGGGATCTTGGCCGGCCTCATGGGAGTGGCGACGCTCATACAGGTGATACGACGATACGACTGATTCGAGTCGACTTCATTTTCGCGCAGTGCTGTTTTGGCATTGGTGTCGCTGGCGAAACAGTTTTCTTGGTCCACAACTGTTGCAAATGAAATCCACTTTCCGGTGTTGATCCGATGACTTTTAACTTTCCCCATCCTATGGTCCGTTTCCGGAAAAGTTCACAATATTTTCCCCTGCACAAAGGTGCACTTTTCTTGGGGTGGGGGTACTTATTCCGAAATCTGAAAATACCGCGTAAATCGACGTTTCAAGGCGCATCTTCGTACGGAGATTTTTTTTTTTTTTCGTCCTTTGCTCGATATGTTCAGATATTCAAGAAATCTTGCTTACTTTCTGGAGGGCGGTGTTTTTTGCAGACACAAAATCTGAGACCGGATTTGGACAGCTCTCGTGATTTGCCACCGATGATTTTTTTCCGATTTCCAATTTGACAAAAAATAACGGAGTTATGGGCAAAAAAACGGATATTGGAGGGTATTTTGCTTAGTTTCTTGGGGACAATCCAACCGTACGATTCAAAAATAAAGTGCTGCAATTGATTCCTCTCGTGATTTCCCACCGATGATTTTTTTCCGATTTCAAAAAAAAACTCGGGTTTCGGAGATATTTCGGGTGGTTTCACACGCCCTCGGGGAATTTTTTCCCGCCACACACACACCAGAGGACACACACACACACCCTTTACGCACGCAACGAAAGACGCACACGCGCTCCGGGCACATGGGTCGCCCAAAGGGTAAGCGAAAGCTGCCAAGGAACGCCGACGGCACGATTCGGAAGGCCCCTTCGCCCCCTGCGGACCCTGCTGTAGGCAACGACTCTCCTCCCTCTTCCGACCATGAAGGCGCCAATATTTCTCCCATGCACACCAACGACCACGACGACGACTGGC